TGCATGCTAGTAGAGAACTGGATTTATTAGACTAATAAATCCAGCTCTCTACTTACATTTTTGTGACAAATTGATCCAGAGCATTGCTTGGCATGGAGGAACCTTTTATGTTCCCAAGTTTCATTCAAATATCATGACTTTGGGAGAAGATATAATATGACTGATAATCTTTGTAAATCTGTAAAGAACGCCACTTTTTTACCTGTTAATGTCTTTACAACTCAAAAAGTATGATAGATTAAAAATCTGACAGCATGACTAGATTCTGCATCAAAAACTGTGCTAGACTGCCAAGTTTCATTTACATACTCCAAGAAATAGGCGAGCTACAGGGTCCCCACCAAATCCTGGAAAATTTTTTCAAGACCCCCAATTTTTTTTCAAGACCCCAATTCGAGGGAAAAATCAGGCCGCTGCGCATCAAGAATGGTCCCCAAAAAGCCCATCTATCAATGATAAAAAGTCAAAATGTCTATATATGATTGCAAATCTACATTTTGTAGTATAGTCTTCAAACAATAGATGACTATAATACTGGGTGACTGCCAACCCAGCTTCTCAATTTTCCAAGGGAGGGGCCTCATCCATTTTCCAGGAACATGTTACATAACAATGAAAGCGTGTGCTCCATTTATATCTAATATAATACATGTATATGTTTGTGAATACACACACACACACACACACACACACATGTTGGTACATTATATCCAGTCAACAACATGTCAGTGTGGCACTGGGATCTTGAGAGACTTTGGTATTTCAGTCTGTTCTTACTTATTTATATTTTCCCCACATCATATTAGCCAACATAACAAACTATAGGCCCTATATAAAAAATGAATCCTGTTTTGAGCCTGAGAAAAGACCTAGAACAAGAATATCGACTGTCAATAACCAGTCAAACTCAAAGTAGAGTAATATTAGTAATAACATCTAGAATGGCTCAAGTACACCTATTCAGTGTGAGAGGTGCAAGAACTGAGGGAGGGCAAAATGCAGTGACACTGAAAATCTGCCTATCTTGAACAGAAAGCTAAAATATAGATATAAATTACAATCACCCCATTCAATGAAACGCGAACACTTTAGTTCAATAACAAGGCATGACGGATCCCGATTCCACACAAGACCTGCACCAACGCACACTTTGCAGCGAGCTCATAAGTAGTTATCAAAATGCTAAAAATTTGCTTCCAAGTTCAGTTTTTGTCCGCTAGCGTTGCCTTCAGCCCCACCCCTCCCCCCACCCCCCAATCCCCTTCAACGAGTGTATCTTATAAAGGAGTCCTATACTTCACAGCGCTCAGACCGCCGGTACTCACAGGTTCATTGACCGGTCACGAGGGCGAACCTGTCAAGACGCTTGTATACGTTCTTTTTCTTCTTTTTTTTCCCCCCAAGCGACAGCAGAGGGCAATTTTTAATATTGATTTATTTTCAAGGCGACACAGCTTTCATAATGCATAATCTGCATGTTACAAATGGAGTGTGATCTATCAGACTATTACCGGAAAATTTCTGGGCGGTAACGAAAGCGAAAGTAGATCTTGATTCTTCCCGATCGAGCCTCGGTGTCACACATACACTTCCGCCACAGCGGTTCAATTACGTTTCCTCTTCAGGATTCATCAACCATACAGTCTAGATAGCTACACATTACACAGGCCCTATCCTTTCATGAGTTACCGACCCATCACAAAATTCCCGACTTTTTCCCGACCTTCCGACCCATCTCAAAATTCCCGACTTTTTCCCGACCTGGTGAGGACCCTGGAGCTATGACAAATATTGTCTCAAAACGCACCGAAAAACGCCACATTTTTACCTATAAACGTCTTCATAACTCAAAAAGTAGGATAGCTATGACAAATCTGAAAGCAAGACTAGATTCTGCACTAAAAAATGTACTAAGTTGCCAAGATTCATTTAAATACTCCGAGAAATGAGCGAGTTATGAAGAATATTGTCTCAAAACTCACCAAAAACGTCCCATATTTTGGGGGTTTTTCATTATATAAAAGTATACCAAAAATTAATTGATTTAAAAAATTGTAACTTTTTTGTTTATTGACGGATTTCAAAAATCCAAAAAGTTCCATGCTCTGTGGAGATAGAGCTACAAAATGCACCTATTTGCAAACACTTTCTGACAAACAAAAAAACGTTTTTCATGGTCATTGCTACCGATAGACAGTATTCAGAAAGAAACAGAGAGAGAGAGAGGGGAGGAGTAGACCTTGCAAGAACTTCCAGGCAAAACAAAATGGCGACCCGCGTAGTTCGGCTCGATTTGAAAAGTGAAATAGCCATAGCATCTTTGAAGACGATCAAATTAGCTTACTTTTGTGCTATAACGTAATTTTTTCTTGGCTTTTATCAATCTGATCATCCACATCGATAGACAGTATTCCGAAATGAGGTAAAACAGGTCTTGTTTCACACCGGAAGAGAATAGCCTATGCTGGCAAGTCTCACGTGGGGTGAGAGGGAGATCGTATTGTTATTCTCACCCCGGGTAAGGATAGCCACTTCCATTCCTGAGCTGTTTCCTCATTCACTTTTGCACGACTGTAGCGGTTACGTTGTGCCTCTTCTGTGCCAATGGCGGATGATTCAGGGCGCGGGAAGATTGAAGAACACTGGACCACTCGTACATTATTGCGCGAGAATGTGGAGTAGGTGGGGCGGGTGGTTGGCGTTCAGTACGGGTTCTTTTGTCTTCTTCCCCCTGACTATGGAAGAATGAAGAATACCGGACCACTCGTACATTATTGCGCGAGAATGTTTGACAGAAGCTGCGTAATGTCAGTCTCTGAAATGTTCGTAACTCGTGTCCCCCCCCCGGACAAATTTTAAGGCCCTTAAGATTCTGGTCCCTGATAAATGTTTGCCCAATAAGCGCAATCCCGCACGGCGCTCCACACCTGGTCCCTGATCAGTCGTCGTCCCGCGCAGGCAACGCATTTCGTTTAGGGCGGGGTCTGCATCTGTGTGCTAAAATGTGTGTGCGTCAATCTGCTTGTGCCTGTGTGTCCATCTGGAACTTACTGCATTGTTTTGCAACGCGAGGCGTTGGTAGAGATAACAGAGCGTCGGCTGAGACGTTCATCCAATGAAATATGAGCATTTTGACCCAGTTAGACACTTGAGGGACTCGAAAGTCGAAAGGATATTCAGGAAATTTATAAGACTTTCATCTTTCAAGGCAAACACCTTTCCTCACTTTTCAAACGATCTAATTTTTACACCAAACGTTGTTTCCTCATGTAACTAATCATATTTGGTGGTTTTTTAACCATTGTCCTACCAGAGGGAGAAATTTGAGAACAACTGAATAAAAAAAAAATCGGAAATAATCCCCTTTTTTTCCTCTTTCGAATGATAGCTGATAAGCAGCTGTTCCCAAGTTCATTCATAATAGGTGTGAAATCTGGAAAACTCTGGAATGGTTATTCGATTTGGTGTAACTTCCAATCTCAGCGTCTCTGATCAACCGACGAGGAGATAATGGGATTATTCGTGTGATCGTAACAATTATTCATTGATAGTATCAGTTTGCTATAAAAGATGAGGTGTTTCCCTGACCTGCCGCGGCACGCTCGCGTGACCAGTGTTTGACCCCGGCGCCCCGTGGCACAAGCTCGCAGGCGACGTAAGTGGGTCATCGATCGATAAGAGCCCTCTTCCGGTTAACTAGTCCGCAGGACTAGAGTTAATGAATAGATCTACCGGTCCGAGACTCTCCATTGAGAGATATTAAAAACAGGAAAATTATGAATTCCTGAGGTTGAGACATCAGGCCAACTCAGTCCGCTGGTCCGGTATTCTTCAATCTTATCCAGGGCGCCCTGATTGTGAACGAAGCCAGTAATGCCTGCAAACTACATTCATGGCATGAACGTAGTCATGAGTCACAGCATTTAAAAGTTGCAGAACAAACCAATCACATCATTGGCCACCTCTATTCTCACCCGGGATGAGAATAGTGCAGGCTAGTCTTTTGGCTATTCTCACCCGGTGCGCGTTCACCAGATCTAGGCCAACAAATTTTGCGTTCACCCTAAACCACAGAATTCTACACTGTGATAACAGAAAAATTGTAGAATTCTGTGCCGTGAACAAACGTTCCATTACAACTGTAGCCTACTAAAAGCGTACAATTTTGTATGTGGGCAGTGGAGAGAGAGAGAGAGAGAAAGAAACAGAGAGAGGAGTAGCGCGAGAACTTCCGGTCAAAACAAAATGGCGACCCGCGTAGTTCGGCTCGATTCGAAAAGTTAAATAGCCGTAGCATCTTTTTTGCAGACAACCAAATTAATTTACTTTTGTGTTTTAACATCATTTTTAAACTTTATTTTGGTCAATTTGATCGTCCACACCGATAGACTGATAGACAGTATTCAAAAAGAGACAGAGAGAGAGAGAAGGGAGGAGTAGAACTTCCGGGCAAAACAAAATGGCGACCCGCGTAGTTCGGCTCGATTCGAACAGTGAAATAGATCTAGCCATAGCATCTTTGAATTTGAAGACGATCAAATTAGCTTACTTTTTTTGTGCTATACGTAATTTTTTCTTGGCTTTTATCAATTTGATCATCCACATCGATAGAAAGTATTCCGAAATGAGGAAAAACAGGTCTTGTTTCAAACCGGGTGAGAATAGCCTACGGCCGCAAGTCTCACCCGGGGTGAGAGGTCGATCGTATTTCTATTCTCACCCCGGATGAGAATAGCCACTTCCCACATCATTCCACAAAAATATGAGCAAACGGTTTGAACTATCATTTCCTAACAGCCCATAGAGGAGGGCAATGGCATGGGAGTCAATCAAAAAGACTGAGACTGGGATGCTGTGTCCACGACGGCTCGAGAATCCAAGTCCAATGCCAATATTGAACTCAACCTACACTCAACACCTACTGTGGGCTACATCATGTAGGCTACAGGCTTAGTTCAAATACAACAAGCAGTAATGGTCACAAAGAAGCAAAACGTTACCACTAAACAGCTCCCAGCATTGCCAACACTTGTAGAATAGCCGTTGCCTCACCTTTTCCTAAAATAAACTGAGGTCAGAATTCTCATTTTTTTCCGAGGCGACTTATTTATGCCAAACACTTGATCGCCATTTCAACATCTTTGTTGTTTTGAACTGTAACCTTTTTCCAATAGATCTAAAGCGGAAATGCTACAAGGTGTGGACAGGAAATGGTTGCGCGATTTTTTTATTCGACAAAAACCTGAAACATAGGCTAATTTTAAATAAATTCACCAAGACTAGTTTCTTTTTTCTAAGATCTCTTAAACTTGATAATCAAGACCCCGGTATCTCTATCGTAGCTTCGACAGAGACACTGACAACCGTGTAATTATGTTTTGCATAACTTTAACTTGCGCATTGATTTTCAGCGATTTCAAGCCTTCCAAGGGACACCGCTCTCTTATATTATTTTAGTTGTACAAACCAATCTGTATTACTTCCCTCTATACCAAAGAGGTTACAAACAGGACGAGAGACCTCTCGTCCTCTTGTAGGCTAGTTTTATTTTTAACCTCTTTAGTATATTATATACCAAGACGGACTAAGACAATATCTATTCTTCTTCAGAGCGTCACGGGCGGGCAAGAGGGTTTTTAATTTTAAGGAATCACGTCGTAGATTTCTAGGCCGAGATCTCTATATGGAATCTTTTTTTAATAGATCTATATTACTTGTTGAATTTTTGAGTAAAATATGTTAAATTTTACCCTGTAATAGTCATTTTCTGCAGAAATGTAAACGCTCTCTACATAATTTTGGTAATAAAATATTTCTACAAAAGATATTGGAAAACTCCATGACGATGAAGTCATGCCCTTGGGCTATATTTATGCAAAATATGTCATTAAAATCCATCGGTAAAGTAAATCTCTGAGGAGTGGGAAGAAAAACGGTCAAATAGTGAAAAGTGAACATTCGAATTTTTAGAAAATATTTTCTAAATGAAAATAATAAAAATGATAGATAACATGTTATATAACTTGAAAGCGTCCACCCAAATATTGATCTGTTAAACTGTTAAGATTAATTAATGCATTCCATTGTGCAAAAGCTGGAGACTTAATCATGTTTGATAGTTGAGGAAAGATTTGACAATAAGTGGCGCCACGAATGTTTTCACCGTGCTTATTGTACAATTTCCAATTTATTTAATTGTAGCCTACAACGCCTACACAAAGAATCCTGATTCGTAGAGTCGTTGAGTAACCTTTCGTGTTCTATCTTATTCCTTTTAAAAATAATATGATGTTTGGGGCCCATGCCCAGAGCGTGCGCTATGTTATAATATATTACGATTGTTTGAAATTAAGACATAGCCTACATCATCATCATCCAATGCCAGATCTGCGACAGACATCGGCGATCATGGTTCTCCATTCATTCCTTTGCTCGAATGCTCTCAAAAAAGCTACGTTTCCCTGATCTTTCCCTGTTACCCATTTGTTAGGTTCCCTAAGTATGTAATTATTCTGGGCATACCCCAGCCTCGCTTGCTCTCAATATTGCCAGTGAGAGCTAGATACGTTCAAGACCCTTATGTCTATTCAGGAAAACTGCATTTGTCGTTTCCTGATTGTTTTTAACATTGAGCGTCCCGCGTGGGCTTCATCAAGCACTATCTCATTTGATTTCTTTTCCTTTCACGATACTCTTAGCGGTGTCCTAAGAAACCACATTTCTGTTCATCATCCTCATTGCCTTTCTCACACTGGGTCAGGATATAGGCCACGAACAAGCACTCTCCACCTTTCCCTATCCTGGGCTAGTCGCTTGATGTCACTCCACGCCTTCCCACTTTTCTGTACATCCATTTCCGTGACTCTTCTCCGGGTTCCACGAGGTCTTCCCCTTGATCTTTTACTCTCTGAGTTCCAATCTAACACTTTTCTTGTTATGCAGCTGCTTGACTTCCTGAGAGTTTGTCCAATCCATCGCCAACGTCTTCTTCCCACCTCATCTCTGACCGGGCTCTGTCTGGTTCTTCTCAATACTTCCTCTTTGGTGATCCTGACTATCCATTTGATCCTCAGCAGCCTCTTCAGACACTTGTTCAAGAAAGCCTGGATCCTCTTTATGCGCGTCTGGGATGCGTTCCGTCTCACATCCATACAACAAGACTGACTTCACATTTGAGTTGAAAATTCTGAGCTTAGTTCGTAATGAGATATCCCTGGTCCTCCAAATCCTGCTCAAAGAAATAAATGCACCCTGTGCCTTTCCAATGCGGGACTTTATTTCCGCACTTGTTCCCCCCTCTCTGTCAAGTATACTCCCAATATAGCTGAAGGATTCGACGTCTTCTAGTGCCTTTCCTTGTACTGTGACCTGCTCCTTTCGCAGTGCATCTATCCTTAGGACTTTCGACTTTGCAGGGTGGATCCTCAATCCAAAAGACTCTGATAGGCCGTTTAAAATTGTCGTCTTTGCTTGCATCTGTTCCTGAGTGTGTGACAGAAGCGCCAAGTCATCTGCAAAGTCCAGATCGTCCAACTGTGTCCACGGGGTCCACTGTATAACTGTTAACATTTCTGTTGCTTCTATTTTATTTTCACAGTCTTTAGTGATTGTCCAGCATTCATAGCCATATATAGAAGGGTTGACCAAACATAGCATTTCAGGACTTTCATTTTGGTGGTGTTCATTGAGATGTTTCTATTTGTCAGGATTGGGCTAATTTTATTGAAACTAGCCTTAGCCATTTTAATTCTCCGTTTTATTTCTGTGGAACATATGGCATCATATGTTATCATATATCCTAGATATTTATACTGTTGGACTTGTTTCCTCGTTTCACCTTTGCTAATGAGATTGCAACTAGGGTTTGCTGGGGTGTTGTTGTTGTTTGTTTGGTTGTTGTTTTTGTTGTGTGTTTTTTTTTGGGGGGGGGATGATATTACCATGCATTCTGGGTTTTTTTACATTCAACAATAATCCTTTACGTTCACTTTCTGTTACAACAGTATCTAGAAGCAATTGAAGGTCCTTTTCTTAGCCTGCTATTAAAACCGTGTCATTTGCATACCTGATGTTACTAATATTTTCTCCATTTACGTTGAGACCTGGACATTGGTCTGTGCCTACGTACATTTACATTTATTGAATCTCTGCATAGGCGGGATGCGCCTTGAAACATCAGCATTCTTCATACAAGCGCCCCCCCCCCCCTCTCTCTCTCTCTCTCTATCTATCTATCTATCTACATGTATCTATCTATCTATCTATCTATCTATCTATCTATCTATCTATCTATCTATCTATCTATCTATCTATCTATCTATGGGCAACTGACCTAGCATGGTGCAAGGCGGCTTGGCTCTTTGATATTATTATGTTCCTAAGGTGGGGTTATTTCATTGGGTTTAGATTGTGTGTGTCTAAACTGAAATGAAGTTTATGGCGGACAAGCAACCATTGATATCTTGTGCACAGTGGTAGGCTTGCTACACCTGTGCCCTATGTGTAAAGATCCGGCAAACAGTGAAACAAAAACTTTTGTATTGAATTAGTGAGTTGAGGTAGTTTTAAATTAAAATTTAATATGTTTTCTTCAATGCAACAATGAATCGAGTCTACCTCTTGAAAACTCGCGTTACTGCTTTGTCGTGTGAGGTATAGGGCCACTGTCACTCAAGAGACTCGGACCACACTAACCAGCAGAATTTTCGTATTCTGCTGCGGATGGAAAGCAAAAGCGAGATATTTAAATTATGAATGGTGCATACTGAAGGTGCCCAGTTTAAAGTCCAGATGTGCTCAACATAAAAAACTGAAGGGCACAAATCATATACATACGTATGTAGGCCCAAAGACGTATATAAAGGAAAATCAATTTTCCTGGTTTCAGACGTGGGGTTTCGCCAACAATTTTATAATACATGTACTTTTAATGTAGGCCTACATGCGTATATTTTCACTTTCTCTTTTTATATGTGTGTTTGACTGGCACATTCATCTCATGCCTGGTCATGACAAGCCAGATGATCCTCTTTACAACCCATCCGACGCCACTGCTTTGCCCACAATAATTTGTTCGACTGAGTGCACCACTGCTTTGCCCACAACTACGTGTATATTAATTTTGTTCGACTGAGTGCCGGCGCACATTAGACCTATTGCTTCGCTTGGCTATTTTGTGTGCGTAGGTGGGTGTATCTACACGCGGTCATTTCTTCACATGAAAAATGACAACATTTTCATTTTTTCCCTTTCTTTTCCTGTTCGATGTATTTCTTTGGTGCTAAAGGCCACTTAATTTTTTATTTTTTTTAATTGCTTTCCTTTCGTTTGTTCGATTGGTCATGATGACAACCTTTTTTTTGTTAACCGTGACCCACAAATCCTTACATGAATTTTGTTTTGTCGGTTACGGTCTGCTTAACTTCATCCAAAAATAAACTACACGTACTGAAGTCTTAGTAAGCAGAATTTAAAGATCGCAGACATCATTATGAGTCAGGCGCCAGGACTATTTTTATATTTTGATTTTCCGCACGTTGAAAGCTCGACTGTAAACGCGTGGCCAGGTTTGCCACCCCTCCTTCTTTGTACTATCACCAGACTACAGCTGGACTCTTAGTGTATCACCAGTGACAAACAAGTTAGAGCTTTCCAGAAAACTGTTGATAAAACATCTGTTGTACATCATCTTTTAAAAATCGTTTAGGTTCTTTTAATGGAAAGAGATTTGAGCAGGCCAGAGCAATAGATAACAGTATACTGTGACTGTGACGACTCTTGCTTGCTCTGGTTTTGCCTAGGCCTAGATCTAATCGAGGAATGCAACAGTTGGAGTTCGCATAAAAATCTGGGAATATTTGACTGACCATAAACACTCAGGTTGACGACAACATTATCGGAGACTGTTCTGATCGCTTCAGTGAACGATGGCTACAAAGAGAATAAATAAGGTTTGTACCTGTAATTATAAGTACACATACGTGTAGCTTGTATTTCAATAATAAGAACTATTCCGATAAAGCTTTGCGAGGAATTGACTTCCTTGACGAAAAGATAAACTTTGGTGAATTGTCTTCCCAGTCGTAATTCTTTTTTTTTGTTTTAAATAATAACACAAGGACACAACCGCACGTTCAACACTTCCTAGTTTTCTTTGTGTATAAAATAATGACAAGAAAAACTATTAGATTACTAAGAAATGAAAGCCGTACTGGATCGACTTAAACTAATAAGGCCGGCACGATCACCACGTCGTCTTTTTACTGAACCCGGTAAAGAGGCAGGGATATCGAGGATAATCAGAGTGACAAAATGGAACTGTTCTTGAACACTCCTTGTCCAGTCCTGACTCAGTGTCCACACTGAAGAAACAGATTCGTTTTTCACGTTGCCTTATTTGTTACTCTAGAATATGTCTATCTGTTTGTTTTAGGAAAGAATGGGAAAAGTTTTGGGAAAGGCTTTGTGAGTGTTAATGTGAGACCACATGTTGGAAGTGACTGATCCTCTTTATTTATTTAAATTTTGGCCAGCTCTATTTGGACTCGAGTCCGAATATGATGGGTTTTCTCTAGGCTGCGGTTATTGGTACTATATCTATAGTCTAGTGCGTACAACTCTAACTAGTTATTCGTACAATTATTCGAAGGAAGAGGCTAGCCATACTTAATGACGGCTAGACTGGCAGTCTAGCCGTACTTATTCTAAATATTATGATGGCTAGACTCTGCTAGACTGACCATTTAAAAAAACGCAGAGGCTATTTTTACGGCGAGCCGTAAAGATAGCCTCCCAGGCTATTTTTACGGCGTGCCGTAAAGATAGCCTCCCAGTGAGTCCCAGGCTATTTTTACGGCGATCCTCGAAAAGCGACCCTACTCCGCCTCTCATGTACGCGACATGCCTCAATGTATTAGATCTAGGCCTATAGGGGCCGTTCAAAATATAAACTTACACCTCAGAGGGGAAAGGGCGTCTTTGGCTTCTGTAAGAAAAGTGTAAGATTGGGTGGGGAGGTTAACCAAATATAACACTTCTGTGAGATGAACGTTTTGCTCATGACTGGGAAGAAAAGGAAGGTAAAAGAAAAAGTGGATAAATGCCAGTAACAAGACCCAGATCTGCATGATCACTGCAGATCCCCGTTGTTGTTGTTTTTTTTTAGAGGAAAGGGGGGGGGGTTACAAATAATTTTGAAATTATATGATGAAAATTCTGTCGGTGGACATCTAATTTCTTAATGTTTCTTTGTAACTTTGCAACTGTTTTGTTGATCTTTTAATGTCTTGATGTCTTTTATTTGAAAGGCACGTACCTATTGCATTGACAAGAGTCTCAATGTCTTCCATATTTATGCGTTCTTTCTAGTTCATATGGTTTGATTAAATTGTATTAACTGAAATGATATTTTTTTACAAGCTGGTTAAAAAAAGCCACGTATAGTACAGGTATCTTTAAAATAATAATGGAAGTTGAAGATCAGAAAAAGTACTAATTAAATTGGTGTGGATGGGGGTTGGAGGCAAATGTGAGAAAAGTGGTATTTGGGCTTTGTGTTTTAAAAACGTCCCCAAAAGTGTAAGATTATATTTGAACAGTGTCATAGGTTTTCCATTTCCTACTCTTCACCGCCATTCTATTCTCTTCTTCATCTTCCTTCTCCCTTCCTCCACCACCAACTCTTCCTTCTTCTCCCCACCATCATCATTCACCCTCTCTTTATCATCACCACCACCATCACCTCCTCGTCATTATCATTACCATCACCACTGCCACTGCCAGCATCATCATCTCATTCACAGACATCACTACATTATGTACCACACCCACAAGAAGAGCGGCCATTTTAGAGTTAACACTTTTCGCCTTGGGAATGCCTATAAAATGTTCCTCCTTCCTTTGCACTGAGCAGATTTTTGATAGAGGTGTAAAATTATTTTTTTTTGTTCACAGTGATTAATTTATTAATTATTGTGATGCAATTTCAGGGTACAGGAACACATATATATATTTTTTTTTCTTTCATTTAAATATCAAAATTTTGCTCAGTACGATTGACCATAGTATCTGTATCTACCATTCCACCAATTTTCATGCAATTTTGTTAGAGAGTAGAAGCCTTCGGTTTTTAAAAATTATTGTTTGTTTTGCATGTTAGTGCTGTTTCCATTCCATGGCAACTTTCATATTTTCGGACTTATCGAAATTTACTTTCTTCATTATTTCTTATGCCCGTATAATTTTTTTTCCTAAATATGAATCGGAAAAAGAATCACCCTTGGGGTGAGCTGTTCCCCGTAAAAATGGACAGTAATAATATGAGCACATCAGAAAACAAAAAATAAAAACTTAAAAAATGCGATCTATTTTATTATTTGAAAGAATCCCACAACAACAAGGTCCTAGTAAAGAACATAAAAACATTGAATTGTTTAAAAGTCCAGAATAAAGACTATAATTATGAAGCCAAAGACACCCTTTCCCCTCTGAGGTGTAAGTTTATATTTTGAACGGCTCCTACTATAGGCCTAAATCTAATACATTGAGGCATGTCGCGTACATGCGAGGCGGAGTAGGGTCGCTTTTCGAGGATCGCCGTAAAAATAGCCTGGGACTCACTGGGAGGCTATCTTTACGGCTCGCCGTAAAAATAGCCACTGCGTTAAAAAAAACAGGCCTACTGAATTGTAAATATAAATTTTTAGTGTGCAGTACCTAAAGTATAAATTGTATTTGAGACGAAACCAGGTGCTTTAATGACAGTGCATGTATTTTAAACCTCTGTTTTCTAATGTTAATAGGGCCTAAGATAAGTACGGCTAGACTGGCAGTTTAAGTACGGCTAGACTTCTTGTCTGGCCGTACTTAAGTATGGGTAGACAGCCAGGCTAGCCGTACTTAAGGAATTGTAAATGAAATTTTTAGTTTGCAATGCCTAAAGTATTTGTATTTATTCAGACAAAACCAAAAGGTGCCTTACTGACTTGCATGTATTTGAACCTGAATAATTACTAGATCTAGATCTAATGAGACCTGTGTACTTTACAGGCTTGAGTCGATAGGGCCAAACCTAGATCTAAATACGGCTAGACTGGCAGTCTAGCCTACTTAAGTACGGCTAGACTCTCAGATTCGAATTTTGGAGGTTGCTGGTAAAAATAAGCCTGGATCACTAGATCTAGTCATCCAGTTGGTTCTCCCCTGGGTTGAGCATCAATATAATAACTTTAACCAGTCCTAAATATATAAAATACTTCTTCAAACGCAGACACGCTGTCATTTCGGCCATCAGAACTATCAACAGGAGGTAGATTAAGCTTAAATATTTTTACAGCACGGTTTCAACGCAACACGCATTTCTAGATCTATCTATCTAGAGTCTAGATCTAGACTTAGTTGGGGTTTTTTGCAAGTGGCTATTCTCCGGCGTCGCGCCGGTCGATAGATTGGAAGCACGCCGCCGGTTTATTACCAATGAATTATTTGTCGGCGCAGTTTTGCAAATACCTCTCTCATCTGTTTGTCTTGGAAAATAATTCCTATAACTTCAGCACTTCGTGCTACTTCCATTGATACAGACAATAGGTTTTCAGACACACAAACTGCCTCAATTTCTCCAATTCAGAGTTATGTTAAGTGCTAGAAGAAACATGTTCACCACTAAGTGACACGAGTTCATAACAAAGATTGAGCATAAATAAGAAGAATGGATGACCCAAATAAATGAATAAAGTTACATTAGACAATTATCATAGATAAAATATAATGAAAGGTAGACTTACTAGGCCTAGCAGTGGCGGTGGGTAGTGAAGGGCTCACGGGCTTGAGCCCCCCAAGTCTATCCCAAGGCAAATGAAAATAACGAAATAAGCAGTTGAAACTGTTCTGATCTCCCGCAATAAACACAGAGTGATCAACTTGGCGGCTTGCTCGTTTATCCAATCACCGTTGTCTCCGCGTACAACTATAGTAACCTAACAAACAGCCAATCAAATGTCTTTAGGGCTCAGCAATCAACCAGCCCGTTCCCACCGTCTCTCCTTAATGAAACCCCTCTTGTAAAAAGGTAGAAGACTTGAAAAAATTACACTGCACAGAGGGCTCACGCTCTCCCAGCCCTGACAATGGGGGGAAAGTTTACGACACACTTTCCCCCAGTGACACAGTTACCTCTATGTGCCCATTGGGCCTTTGTTAGGCTCGTTCTATTTTCCGCAACAACACGACCCAATCCACCTCATAGATGGTGTGTGTTTGGAGTGCTGTGTGTTTGTGCTGCTGAGATTTAACAGTTTTTAATTACATCAAACCACTTTTGAGGCAGCTTTTTCATCAAATAAAAACTAATTAGAGAAATTTGGAGGTGAAACGGCTTTGTCCCCACCATCCAGAAGAATTTAACTAAGAATAAAGAGATGGCTGACAGAGGTGACTCTTCTCGTTTGAATGGTTCTCAAAATGCCGTGGCTCGCCGTGAGTATAAAAAAATCATCACTGTTTTGTTCTTATTGCTTGCTTTTTAGTGCTAAAGAAGTGGAACAAATCTAAGCCCCACCCAAATCTAGGTTCACCCACCGCCACTGAGGCCTAGATCTAGTTATTGTATCTCAAAAATCTGTGCCAACAAGTACAATAAAATACATTGTAATTCATTAGTAATAGACCGGCAGTGTGACGCTGGATAATAGCTTCTGATCTACTGACCGGCGCGACGCCGGAGAATAGCCACTTGCTTTTTTTTTTTTACATTGAGACATGAGGGGAACACCATCAATGAGGTGGCTGGCATCAGATCGGCAGATGAGGTCTGACGGAAAATTTTAAAATTTCAGCTGGTGGAATATTGGAAACACTGATCTAGAATCTGTAGGTCTAGATCTAGATCTAGTTTTTTAGATCTACTAAGACAGAACATGTAGGCAGTAGGCCTGTGGTCATGCAGGCCTACTAT